ACTCACTTGGATTTTGACTCTCTATTCAGGCTATTTGTGTGGATGCCCATCTCACTCTACTTGGGCTTTGACACTCCATGCTATCTTCAACATGGATAATTTCCCCCCAACTTGGTATCTGACTTCCCCTCATCAGAATGCTCACCACATTCATGTGGACACCCTCCCCACCCTACTTAGGCTCTGACTCCCCACGCTGAACTGCCACCTCACATGGGCATCTTCCTCATCCTGCTTAGGCTTTTGACATCTTTCATTGGGCCTCTCCTCTGCTTTGGGTGCCCTCTTCCTGTTTAGGATCTGACCCAAGATTCCAGGCTACCCCTACCTGGACATCTTCCTTACTCTGGCTCTGACATCTCAGGTGAGGTGCCTCTCCTCACCCTATGAGGTAGATGCCCCTTTTACCCTGCTTGTGCTCGGACTCACCAAACTGGGCCACCTCCAACCTGTAGATGACACCCTTCTCATCATTTAGGAAATCGGACTTCCCAACTCAGTCTGCCTCTCTATGAAGATATTTTCAGTACTCTGCTCCAGCTCTGACACTCTGTGTCAGGCTGCCCCACTGTAGAGACACCTCCTTATTCTGCTTAGGCTCTAACTCCACATGCCAAGCTGGACCTGCCTCTCCATGGAAACCTTCCTCGTCCTAATCAGTGTGTGATATTGCATACTAGGCCAACACCTCCACAGAGATTCTTTCATTGCCGTACTTAGATTCTGATACCCTATGCTAGGCTACTCTTTTACATGGGCACCTTCACACCTTACTCTGGCCCACTGTTGCCCCACCACCAATGGATGCTCACTGTATTCTGTCCACCTAATGGTTTTAAGGTTTAATTGTTCAGGAAGAGAAAGGTAAAAGAAAGGGGAGAATAAAAAGGCAGGAGAAGGGAAAGAGAAGAGGAAGGTTATTTTTGATTAGTGTTGGCTTGGTATATCTTTTTCCATTCTTTTACTTTGAACGTATCTATGACCTTATGTTAAAGTATATCTCTTGTGAATAGCATGTAGTTGGGTCTTATTCTTTTTTGTCAATCTTTGTCTTTTAATTGAGATATTTAGTTCATATATATAATGTAATTGAGATGGTTGATTTTAAGTTTCGCCGTTTTGCTATTCGTTTTCTATTTGTCTTCTCTGTTCTTTATTAATCAATTATTTTTATTTCCTGTTCTCTTCTGTATTGGATTTTTTTGTTATTTTTTTTCTATCATTCTTTTAGTGGTTATTCTAGACATTATACTTCCTTTACTTTACAATTTACCTTAAATTAATATTCTTACCACTTTATGAGCCATAAAAAATCTAATAACAGTTTAGCTCCATTTGCCTGCTCCTGCTGTTTGTGGTTTTGTTGTCATATATTTCTGTTCTACATATTTATAAATTTCTACAGGACATTATTATTGCATCTTCCATTGTGTATGTGTATATGAAATATAGGACAACATATAAATATATGTATATAAAAATGTGTGTGTGTGTGCATGTATGTGTCAGGCACTTTACTCAGGCACTTTAAGAGCTGCTTATTCTTTTCTGCAGTTCTATACTATGTTGAATCATTTTACTTCAGCCTAAAAAAATTTCTTTTAGTATTTCCTGAGGTCTGCTGAGAATCAGTTGTTATTTATTTATCTGTATTTGATTTTTTAAAGTAGATTACAGTTTTCTAATGAAATTCTCCATATTTTTATCTGTTTTCCCCAATCTTTTGCACTGTTAATATATTAATAATCATTTTGAAGTCTTTTGTGCTAACTCAAGTATCTGACTCCCCTGTAAATCAATTTTTTTGTCTGTTTTTCCTTTGAATTTTTAGTCACTTTTTCTTGTTTCACAAATTTTATAAGTTTTGATTGTGCGCTCAACATTGTGAATAAAAAAATCATAGAGACTGAGGAGAGGATTTGGCCTTTTCTCTGTTAATCAAATAGAGTGGCTGACCACTTCAGTCATTTCAGAAGTTTTACCAGGTCAGAGCTGGGTTGGAGCTCTCATTGACTCATTCTACCTATGATTTTTTTCCTGATTTGTGGCCTCCCTGGATTGTTCTTTAAACTGACAGGTCTTTGATTCTTCAATAATTAAATACAATGAGATACTCAGTTCAGTCTTTCAGATGTTTGAATTCAACTCTTTAGACTCTCAGCCCTCGCAGCTTTAGAATATGGCAGGTGTAAGGGGAGACCCGCCATGCACTTGCTGGAGTTAGACTTTCTCAATGGAAATTTGTCTCATAAGCACTCAAAGATTGCAAGTGATTTCCCTGTTTTTCTGACTCTGCCCCTTTCTTGGGGTTAGCACTTCTGGGTTTTTTATCGTGAGTCTGGTAGGTCTCTAATTCGTCATCTTTGAAAGTTCTCTCTCTCAGGCATTAGTTATTTAGCTTCCTGTCTTATGCAGGTTCAAAATCTGGCAAATGTTTTGAGGAGACTTGATGTTTGTCACAGGCCCCTCTAGTGGGACTTGGTTTGTTATAAGTGTCATGACTATGCAGGAGATTTCACTCTGCTTTTCTGGCTTAGTCCCCCATCCTCCTATACCACCCTAACAGTAAGGAAATGTCCTGCAGAGAAAATCATGTTGGCATTCTGCTACATTTCACGCCATCATACCAGACCATGGGTTTGTCCAAAGCTCTGGTGTTACCTCTTTCCCAGTGGAGCATGTCTGCCTGCACCAAGCCCCTGCTCAGAATCTCCAAAATTCCTCCTCTAGCATAGTAGTTGATCTCGTTTCCTGATTGCATTCACAGCTCTATGATTATTTTAACTATGATTTTTATAATTTATTCAGTTTTGTTTGCTTGTTGCAGCAGTGGTGATGGCCTATGACTACCTACTACATCCTACCTGCAAGTGGAAGTCCTATTTAGATCACCTTTAATTTCTCTCTGTGATATATTAATAGTTTTCTACTTAGAGTTCTTACATCTTTTATTATACTTATTATTAGGTGTTTGATGTTTTTCATCATGTCATATATGGCATATTTTTTGGCTTTTAATTTTAAAACTTTTCTGATACTGAAAAATGTAGTGAACTTTAAAAAATTTGATTTCATGTCTAGCAACTTTTCTGAAAACTTATATTCTGATAAGTTATCTGTAGACTGTTTTAGATTTTCTGTGTACCTAATTGTATCAAATATGAAAAGTGACAATGTTCTTTCTTTCTTTCTTATCCTTATATCTGTTTCTTTTTCTTGCTTTTCTGCTAATACTATAAGACCTTTACTAAAATGTTGAATAGAAATGGTAAGGGTTAGCATCTCTGTTTTGTGCCTAATCTCACAGTGAACATTCTCCACATTTCACTATAAATAGGATGGTTGCTCTAAAGTTTTTTGTAGTTTCCCTTGCTACTAGTTCTTATCGTACATAATTACTGAATTTTATCAAATGCTTTATCCAACTATATTGATATGGTCATGTGCATTTTCTTCTTTATTTTATTGATGTGGGGAATCACACTGATTGATTTTTGAATGTTAACTCACTGTGCATTCCTGGAGTAAGCCATCTTGGTGGGAATTCTCGCGCACACACACACACTACATTTGAGTTTCTAATGTTTTGTTTAGGATTTTTGCTTCTAGATTCATAAGGGAGATTTGCCTTTTATTTTCTTTTTTTCATAATCATTCTTTTCAATTAGTGAATAGTAGGCAGAGGGTAGAGACTCAAAAGTTCTTCTGTTTCTGTGATATAGTGTAGGTACCACTCCAATATAATACAATGTTACTTCATTTTTTAAAAATAAACTTTTTTATTTTCAAATAATTTTAGATTTACAGACAAGATACAAACATAATAAAGTTCCCTATACCCCTCTCCCAGTTTTTCTTATCATTAATATCTTACATTACCATAGTAATGTAAGTTAAGATTAAGAAGTCAACATTTGTACATTACTATTAACTAAACTCCAGACTTTATTTGGATTTCACCAGTTTTTCTATTAATGACCTCTTTTTGTTCCCAGACCCAGTCTAATATATCACCATCCATTTGGTTAGTTGTCATGTTTTCTTAGCCTCCTCTGGTCTATGACAGCTGCTCTTTCCTTCCTTGATTTTCATGTTTTTGACAGTCTTGAGGAAAACTGGTCAGACATTTTGTAGAACGTCCCTCAATCTGGGTTTGGCTGATGTTTTTTTCATGATTAGACTAGAGTTAGGGGTTTTGGCAAAGAATACCACAGAAGCAAAGCACCCTTCTTATCACATCATAGCAGAGAGTATGTGACATCCACCTGACATCACTGGTGATGTGAATCTTCATCAGTTGGATAACATGCATTTGCTAGGTTTCTCCACTGTAAATTTACTGTTTCTCCCTTTTTATATTCTATTCTTTGGAATCAAGTCACTAACACCAGCCCCTACTTAAGTGGAGAGGGAGAGAGTAAGCTTTATCTCCTTGGTTGGGGGTAGGGTATGTACTTAGGTTATTTGGAATTCTTCTAGAAGCAAAATCCTCCCTCCTATTATTTATTTATGCAATTATTTATTTGCTCCATTCTGTTTTAATATGAATTCTCTATAATCTTGCTACATAATTACAACCTTGAAAACCTCTGGTTTTCCCATTGACATATAAACTCCCTGAGGGAAGGCTTTGTTTCTTGTTTACCTTTGTACACTCTATGCATTTAGCATAGTCTCCTAATTTATAGTGGACTTCCAGTAATTTTTGAAAAATTAATATATTTTCACTTCAACTGAAAAGTACCCTTACTTCAGCAAAATTATATAGTAGCATTCTAAGTGTAACTTAAAAATAGATTTTTAAATAAATAAAAGCAAATTCATATGTGATCGCATTGTATTAAGTATCTAAGAAAGCAAAGGGCACTGCAGAAATCCCGTAACCATTTGAGGTTGATGTGTCTCTATGAAATATTCCTTGAAGCAACTTTTGGAAAGAGATTATGGTATTTGATAAGCCAAGGGTTTGACCTGCTGGGTCTTTTCTCTTTTTTGTTCAGACCGTCAGAGGAGATTAAGACCCCATTTTCTGCCTTCTCTGGAAAATTTTCATCTGATGCAGTCACTCAGATAACAACAGAAAGTCCGGAAAAAGCCATATTTTCATCTGAGATTTTTATTAATCCTGAAGATTATGGACATGAAATTCCACACCCCAGTGCCCAGAAGCTGGGCAAAGTTCCTGGCAAGTTTGCTTCGTCATCTTCAGTTCAGCAGATTACCGTTCCTCATGGCACAGATGGTAAGACAATGTGATTGGATTTTAGGTCATATTACCAACTTTGATGTGTAATTATCTCAGAAATTTGTGATTGTGTCTTTCTAATGAGAAAACATAATTTTAGTTTTAAGCATTAGGATCTATATGATTGTATCCATCTTTTATTTACATAGCTGTGAAGAGAATATGATTTATTATGTTTTTACCTTAATTTCTAGTGAGGTTAACAAAATATGTGAAACTCATGCTGCTCGTGGTTGACATTTTCATCTCATGATATTTGTAATTAGAATGCAAATAGTTCATAAAAACTTAAAAACTGTAGAGGTCCAATTTTAGGAAGGCAGGCGAATTATTGGCGTTTTGTATTATAGTAAATGTTACGTACTATAATAAATAGATGCAAAAATATGTAATAGTGCAACTACAATACCAGTCTGTTTCTCACTCATAAAAAAATGACCAGAGCCTCAGGTTGACTCTGGCCCTGCAGTGTTTAAAACGTGGAACCCATGATTACCTTGAATTCACCATCATAGTCAACTAGAAGGGACAAAAAGCATGGAGGAGCACATGTGGGAGGCTTTTATGGGCTAGGCCTGGAAGTGGCCCAAATCACTTTCCACTGGCTCGGAATTGTTTAGCTCTGTTTTCTAGGATGAAAAAGAAATGGATTTTGGGGAAAAGCTAGCAATCTTTGCCATAAGGTCTACGTTTAGTGTGTTCTTATGCTATTGTAGCAGTGATATTTTGATAGTGCTTATACTATATAAGATTCAAAATTAGAATAACTTGTTTTCTTTCTCAGACTAATAACAGGAAAATTAACAATTAAGTTCCCATTCTTCTCCCAAATCATGGTGGGAACTTTAAATTACTGATTTTAAAGTATTTAATAGTTTACATAGATCTATTCAAAATATATTTTAAGTTTTCCTACGTATGCAAAAAGCTTATCTATCTGTAGGTATAGATGGGATATGACTAAATATAAAGAAGATTGCTTGGTTTGGCATTTAAATTGCATTGAATTTAATTTAAATAAGTACATTTATATGTTAAGATGGCTATACTTCTTAAACATTTTTATTCTGAAATAAAAGTATACCCTGAAAAAGTACAATTTAATAAATATCACAAAGAACACCTTCATGTGTCAGTTACCTATTGCCACAGTGACACCATAGAACAAACAACCTTAAAAATCTCAGTGCGTTATAACAATAAGCATTTGCTTTTCTCACTCACAGGCTTGTGGGTCAATTGGAGTTTGGCCCCAGGCTGCAGAAATGGTTTGGGTCTGTTCCACGTGCCTTCTTCTGAAACCCTGGCTAATGGGATAGTAGGGTATGTTGTTCTCAGGGTGGTGGCAGAAGCACAAGAGGAGAAAGCCAACTGTGAAAGTGTATTTTAAACTCTACTTACATCAAATGAGTCAGTCTATATAGATGCCAGTATTATGGTTTTATCTTTACATACAGGTACCTGGGAGAAAGGACTCCTTTAAAAGATTAATGTTATTTGGTTTACTAATAAAATATTATTTTTAATACTCTGGATTCAAAAGTAAAATTTTGTTTTTGGTATGAAAACATTTTAAAGTACAAAGAATAGTGTGTTAAACACATGACTGTGTGCCCACTACTCTGGATTAACAATTTCAGAGTAACGTGCTATATGTTTATGTTTGGTTCTATTTTCAAATTTTTTTTAAGAAATAAATTTTAAAGATTTTTATTCATTTATTTATTTATTTTTATTTTTCCTTTTTTTCCCTCAAGCCCCCCAGTACATAGTTGTGTATTTTTAGTTGTGGGTCCTTCTAGCTGTGGCATGTGGGACACCGCGTCAGCATGGCCTGATGAGTGGTGCCATGTCTGTGCCCAGGATCCAAACCCTGGAAACCCTGGACCCCCGTGGAGCGCCCAAACTTAACCACTCCGCCCTGGGGCCGGGCCCTGAAGAAATAAATTTTATAGTTGAGCTTTTCTTCTTTACCCCTTTCCGGACCTTTCTTTCCTTCTTTCCTTCCCAGAGGCAACCATTATTTGCTGTGTAGTCGCTTCTTCCCCCAAGGCAGGCAATCCAAAGTAACCTTAAGACTGTTGCATTCAAACATAAAGTTGTTGGAGAATTTCAAAAAGCCACTTTTCTGTGTCAGAATTCTTTATCTCCATATGATAGCCATTTTTCCTCTGGGACTGTTGTAATTCTGCCAAATCATTGTTACTCATTTTCAGCAACCTTTGAACTAAATGGTAAGTTTAACCATAACTATCAAGCTTTATATACACTGGTGGAGGAAGAAAATTAATAAATCAATATTCTAATAATAATGACTACATCAATGACGGAATAGAAGTATAGGTTACAGCCTATTTTTTCTGTTGTTTAAATTCTTCCCTCCTCTACACATTTGTTTGTTCCCCTTGACTTCAGCCAGATTGTTGTTGGCTGATTTTTTTTGGTTTTGTTGTTATTGTTCTTGTTTTGGGTTTTTTGCCTGATGGAGTGGTCCAAGTATTCCTAAGTAGTCTGAGACTTTACCAGCCCTGCACATATACGTTTAAGGTAATTTTTCATTAATTTCTATCACCAGGCATGGTAAAATTCTCCCCTAGGTATTAGCCATACTCCTATTGACTTTCCTTTTTTTAAGGCAACTTTATTTCTCCCCAGTAGTTAAGGTCAATCGCAGTTTTAGTCAACACTGTGGCATCCTGTTTCATATATTGTTTCAGTGACATAAAGAATGTAAAATTACAAGGTGGTTCCTGCCTCCTGGTAGTGAGTGTCCCTCTCCTAATTCTAAGACCTTCCTTCTAACAAAGCTCAGAATCACAGAGATGGAAAGCAAAAGTTTTTAAAAAAGGCTTCTACCTTTGTTCCTGGAGGCATGCATTCTATTCTGTCTTTGGGATAGGTAAGTACCATATATAGTTCTGAGCTAGCATATTCTGTAAGCTGGCATTCCAGTCTCAGAAAGTGATGCCCACCAGCATGTGCCATAACAGTTACCGGTAAATCGCTCACGCACTTTTTTTTTTTTAAGTTTAGCATAGTTGTGCCTGATAAAACTTATCATGAGAACAGTGAATCCCTTTAGGCATCAGCCTTTTGTCTCGTTTCCTTCACTGTGAAGTGAGTTCCTTGGTTGGAAGCAGGGTACTAATAATATGGAATTTAGTGCCAAAATAAGTCATCAGAATGAATGTGTGGTCAAGGATGATAAAACAATTCTAAGTAATAAATAGGTTGTTATTGTGTCCAGAATGAAGGAGACTTTGTTCTACTCTGGGACTATCAGACTCTGTGTAGAGTATTTTAATTTTTATAAACTAGACATGGGCAAGTGGGAGTTCATCTAGAGGTGGTGACAGGATGCGAGAGAAAACCATGGTCAGTGAGAATAAATGGAAGGAGCTGGAGGGGTTTACTCAGGAGGAACGATAGCTAGCTACAAAATGCCATTCCTATGAGTGATACAACCCCATAAAATACTCAGGAGTAACCTAAACAAGAATTCTATAGGACCTATGTGAAGGAAATAACTAATCCTTTGTATAGAGATAGAAAACAACAGTTGACTAAATTAAGAGAAAGGATGGAATGTTTCTAGATGGGAAGGCTGAATATTGTAAAGATGTCATTTTTTCCCAAATAAATTTATACTCTAACATAATTCTGCTCTCAAACTTCTAATAGAATTGTTCTTTTGAACTTGTTTAATTGATTTAAAGTTTATCAGGAAGGATAACAAAGAAAATTTGGAAAAAGAAGAGTAATGGGGAGGGTGAATTTTAGCAGCAGCCAAATTTAAAGTGTAGTAATAGCCTAAACATCTATAAATATATTGATGGAATAGAATAGGAAGCACAGATGTGAGTTCTGTTTCACTTGAGTTTAATGTGTGATAAAGGAGGTATCACAGTGGAAAAAAATAGGGATTATATAATAAGTGCTATTAGAATAAGTTGGTTACTTACTCAGAGAGAAGGAGATTGGAAGGACTCAACACTTCACCTCTAAACACGTGTAAAAACTACTGTTTGATGCACTTTAAATTTTTAATATTTGTTTAAATTCTCACAGTAACACTAAGATATGGGTATTATTATCATGCCTATTTTGTAGGAGAGGAAACTGAAGCAGAGTTATTTTTTCAAGGTCACAAGGGTAGTAAGTGGCAGCTCCAGTGGATTAAAAATTAATTGACTGATTACTTAGTGAGTTTGTTTTGGGTACAAGATAAGCTGTTGTATCACAGAAACTCAGAAATTACAGGTAAGCCATCTAGAGCAGGTAGCTCTATTCTGTGTCTGATGCTAAAGCATCCCGAAAGTGTTACTTCCATCTCTGGTTCCAGAGTGGCTGCTGTAGCTGTCATGGTCTCCAGTCCCTAAGAAGTGGAGTATTTTAATGGGATGCCTGAAAATTGTACACATTATTCTCACGCTCATCCCATGGGCCAAAACTTAGTCATATGTTCATATGTGGCTGCAAAGGAGATTGGAAAATATAGTGTACAATGGGCAATATGTGCCCATCGAAATATTAGGAAGCCATTACTAATAGAAAGAGATTCTACCACATCATGAAAGAAAAACAAGTATATAGAAAAAGATTTCATCCTCTATAATAATCACATTAATTACATTGGCACAGATATTTTAGAAAGCATTTTAGCAGTTAGTATTAAAAAAAAAAATACTTTATAAATGATGTAATTTTTCACTCTGTAAACAGAGAATTTACCTGAGATGGGGCAGCAAGGGAGAAAGGGTATGCCTTAAATAGGAAAATCTTTATTCATAGAATTCTTTATAATTGAAAATTTAACTCAGCCTAAATTTTCAGCATTAGGAGAAGGGTCAAATACATGCAATCTGTAGTATAGCCCCAAAAATTGTGTAGATGGGAAATAAAATGAATATTTTATTATAAATGTAAAGTAGAAAAGCTGAATTCCAAATTATACATACTATATGCAGACAACTATGTAAACAAATAAGAAACAGAAAAGACATGTAGGAAATATATTAAAATATTAATAATAGTTATCTTTGAGTGGTAGGACTTTGTCTTTTTTGCTTTTGTGTGTTTTTTTAATATTGAGAATTTGTACTTTTATAATGGAAACTTTATTTTGAAGATCTGTCACATAGAAGAGAATTAGACTTGTTTTCTATAACTCTGGGGGAAGAATAAGGCCATAAGACCAGTAGTAGGTATTAACAGTGACCAGGTTTGGGTTCAATATAAGATAAAGGATAAAGTGTTTTTTAATTAGAGCCATCTATATATGGAATAGACTGCTAAAAACTCATCTTGTCTATGAAACCTACCCCTACCACCCTATTTGAACTGCATCCTGCCCCAGTTTGCCCAGTATTCCTCATCTCCCTCAGCATTTTCCAATTGTTTTTTCATATCACTTATAATTTATTAAAACCGTAGATAATTTACTTATTTAGTATGTTGTTTCCTGTATATCTCCTTCCTCTGGAATGCCTGTTCCTCTTGAAGGCAGAGATACTTTTCTGTTTAGTTCATTGATATATCCCAAGAATCTTGAGCACTGCTTGGCACAATAAAAGCACTCAGTATTGTTCAATGAATTAATAAATGTTTTCTTATTAACTGTTCTGGTCTTTATCTCCTTAGCCCAGCCTTCACTGTTGCCATATAAACCCTCTGGTAGTCCGAAGATGTACTATGTTTCACAATTAAGACAAATTCCTCCATTTCTGGATTCCACATCAGACACCACCGTTGAGAGCTCACACTCAGGTATAATGCAGAAATTATTCAAAATTTTATTTTTTGTAAATTTTTTTGCGGATTGACTGGTTAATTCTGAAATGACATATGAAAGCTCAGTGCTATTTAATCTTTCAGGGAAATGTGGAGCTTTTCATGCCTCAAGCTCTGGTTTGGGTACATGAGTTATTCCATCATATGTGTTATATACATTTGAGCATTTAATAAATATTTGATGGGTTGTTTGTTTGGGTTAGTGGACTCCATTTAGGACAAAGATTTCCAAGTTTTCTCTATTCACAGTGCCCTTAATGTTTCAGTGATTTTTTTTTTTCTCATCTGTGAAACACATAGAAATACAAGAAGTATTTTTTCAAACAGCTACTAAGTTATTAGGACATAAATACTTACTGTTTTGATCTAACAACTTTACAAAAATATTTGGTATTTCTTTTTGGTTTTGGTTTGTGAAAGAAAATATTTTATTTCGTTCATAAATAACCACAGTTATTTCCCAGTATGATGCCACTCCTAATTTCCCAGTCTGATGCCACTGAAAAAAAGAACCACAAAAATGCTTATATTGCCAAATATTAGAATTGATTATTAAGCCCATCACCAGAAACTGGAAGAAATTTCCACTACCTACAAGGCTATGATTCTAAAAACATACTTAATGGCTAGCCCAGAAATAAAACAAGCTTGCTTAATTAATTATATGTGGGAAAATCTTTGGTCCCTTTCTTACTTTCAGTCCCCTAGTTCAGAAGACAGAATGTCTGTACCAATAGAAATCTGATCTGGTGTCCCACTATTTTTTGAGGCCTCCAGTGTCCTGCTGTCCATTCACATCCCTAACTCTTCCATCTAGTTGGAGACATTAATGTTTAGAAAATGGGACAGTTGTGGGAGGGAAAAATGACTCACTGATGGTGCATTGTATGCTGAGAAATATTGTGCCTGTAAATAAAGTACTGAATGCATCAATAAGACAGATCTAATAGCTATATATACTTGAGATTGTAGTTTCTCATGTTCTCTATGTATTCTGAGAATGAAGGAGTTGAGAATAGAAAACAATCCTTTCTTAGGCCTCTAGAGCTACTCTAGATGAAAGCCCAGGAATTGTTCTAATAGCTATTGTGTATTAATATGTGCATCTATAGATATGAGAAAGATACAATTAGAGTTTGGGGCCAAGAGCAAGTCATATACCATTATTAGCAAATATTTGGGCCAAATAGATTTCTCCTCAATTGAGAATAAGTAAACAATTGAGCTCATAAAATCCTTAAAAAGAAAATACAAACAAGGCAAAGGTAACAATCTCTCAAAGAAAAAGATAGATCTTAGAAATTTACTTATTAGGTCCAGTAACACTTTTAAGTAGTAACAAGACTCTGTTTATACTGGATGATAAGCTCTGTGAAGATAGTTACCATGTCTGTTTTTTCTGTAAGCCATTTTATACCTCATACCAATGCTCATTATAGACTTCAAATTTTATATATTAATAATCACTGTCAATAAGAGTAAAAACCATGAGGAGAGAACTGACTAGGATTTTTTTAAAGGGGGTAGAGAGTTATAGTAGAAAAAATGGTCAGTAAAGACCTCCAAGAATTTGCCCCTTAATAAAAGCAACAAAAAAATAGGCAAAACTTTTCAGAAAATGTTTCCAAAACTCTAGAAATTAACCAAAGAAGTGTAGCAGCCCAATGAGCATTTATTTATTCAAGAAAAATGGCTGAATCCTGGTACAAACAGTAAGCTTTGTGGCACTTTAACTTGCCTTAGTCCTATCCCCACACTCAGCTCAGTGATAACCTTTAAATATATCAGCCTGCATTCCCAGGACTGGAGGGAGCAGAACAGAGCTAGGCTTCTTTCAAAACTTTATTCCCAAAGAACTGTCAGTATTCGACCTGTCTGGTGGTTCCCTGGAAGACTCCACTCAAAAGGATTGTCTTATTTGACCTCACTCAGAGCTGTCCAGTGTTAAAAGCCTTTGTGTGTGTGTGTGTGTGGAGGAGGTAGGGGGGTGTTTGTCAAAAACATTTTCACACAAGTGTTTTGATGTCACACTGCCTAAGGCAATGAATAGCATTTGGGGTAAACAAGAGACTAACCAAAAGCTTAAGAGGAAAAACTGAGGATGAGATGTCCACAGATGCTTTAAAAAGCTTTGATATATTCCTAGGACTCTAAAAGACCACACATATGCATAGGCCTGTGTGTGTGCTCAAGAAAGACCTGAGAAGGCCCTGCTCTTTACCTCTGGCTGCCCTTGAGGCTCTTTGCAAGAAGAAAGGGAAGGCTAAGGCAGAGTTGACAACTGCCTGGCTCAGTGTTGAAGGCATGCCTCATCATGCACACATAGCCCCTTGGCAAACACTGAGAGATTTATTGGTTCTAGGTATTTAAGTATATCTCTGTCTAGGCATTAGCTGACCACTAAGCTAGTTGAGTAGAAATTTTAATAGACTTTACAAAATTAATTCAGAAAAGTCACTTAAAAAAACAACATAAAGCAATAGCATCAAACCCTGGGAAGGGGCTATAATCTGATTTCCAGATTTGACACATTATATTATTTAAGATATCTTGTTTTCAACAAAAAATGACAAGATATGAAAATTAAAAACAAAAAAAATATGGTCCATACAGAAACAAAATAGCAGTTTAGAAACTGTTCCTGAGGAATCTCAGACGTTAGACTTACTAAACAAAGACTTTAAATTAGCTATTTAAACTGTGTTCAAAAACTGAATGAAACTCTGTCCAAAGAACTAAAGGAAAGTATGAGAACAGTGTCTTACAAAATAGAGTATCAATAAAGAGATAGAAATTATAAAAAGGAACCAAATAGAAATTCTAGAGTTGAAAAGTACAGTAACTAAAATTAAAAATTCACCAGAGTAGCTCAGTATTAGATTTTAGCAGGCAGAAGAAAGAATCATTAAACTTGTAGTTAGGTCACTTGAGGTTATCCAGTGTGAGAAACAGTAAGAAAAAAGAATGAAGAAAAATAAACAGAATCTCAGAGTTGTATGGGACTTTGTAAAGCATACTGTTATACACATCATGGGAGTTCCAGAAGAAGAGACATAAAGGGACTGAAAGAATATTTGGAGGAATAATGGCCAAAAACTTCCAAAATGTGGTGAGTGTTAATCTGCACATCGAGAAGCTCAAGGAAGTCCAAGCAGGATAAACTGAAAGAGATCTGCGTCCAAATACATCATAATCAAACTGTCAAAAGCCAAAAACAAAGAGAATATTGAAAGCAGCAAGAGAGCAGCTACTCATCATGTACAAGGGACCCTCAATAAGATTAATAGATGATTTTGCATTAGAAAACCATGGTGGCCAGAAGGCTTTGGAATGACATGTTCACAGAGCTGGAAGAAAAACACTGTCAGCCAAGAAATTAAGACATTCTCAGGTAGACAAAAACAGAGTTCATTGCTAGCGAAATGATCTACAGGAAATACTAAAAGGATTCTTCAAGATGAAATGAATGGACACTGGACAGTAACTCGAATCTACATGAAAAAATAAAGAGCTCTGGTAAAGGTAGCTACATAGGTAAATACAAACGACAGTTTAAATGTAGTCTGTTTGTAATTCCATTTTCTCTCCTATATGACTTAAAAGATAAATGCATGAAGCAATAATTATAAATCTGTCTTATTGGACAGAAAATGTATAGAGATGTAACTTATGAAAATAACAGCATAAAGAAGGGAGGAGACAGAGCTATACAGGAGAAAAGTTTTTGTTTTCTGTTGGAATAGGTATTAGTCCAGATAGACTGTTAATTTATGTTAAGATGTGAGTAATGATTCCAGGGCTACCACTAAGAAAATAAGTAAAAAATATATAGTAAAAGAGTTACCATAGGAATTAAAATGCTACACTAGTAGATATCTATTTAACACAAAAGAGGTACTAGTATAGAAACTGAGGAACAAAAAAGACATATAGAAAACAGTAGAAAAATAGCAGACCTAAATGCTACATTATTGGTAACTACATTATATGTAAATGGATTATGTGGCAATAAAGAGGCAGAGATTGGCAGAGCAGATAAAAAGACATGATCCAACTATATGCTGTCTACAGAAGACTTGCTTTAGAGTCAAAGAAAAATTGGTTGAAAGTAAAAGGATAGAAAAGGATATGCCATGTAAACAGGAACCAGAGGGCTAGAGTGTCTACTGTTAGATAAAATCGACTTTAAAACAAAAATTATTACTAAAGACAAAGAAGGTCATTTTATAATGATAAAAGGGTTAATCCATTAAGAAGATACAACAATTATAAATGTATATGTACCTTACAGCAGAGTCCCAAAAACATTAAGAAAAACAGAATTAAAAAGAAAAAAAACTGTATCAAAGGGAGAAATAAACAATTCAAGCCAGTAGCAAAAGGTCGTGTACTCTCTCTGTATACATGAAATGTTCAGAATAAGTAAATCCATATAGACAGAAAGTAGATTAGTGGTTGCTAGGGGCTGTGGGTGAGGGGGAAAAAGGGAGTAATTGCTAACATGTACAGGGTTTCTTTTCAGGGTGACAAAAATGTTCTGGAATTAGCAGTGTTGATTATGAATATGCTAAAAACTACTGAATTATACACTTATTTAAATTGGTGAGTTTTATGTTATGTGAACTATATCTCAATAAAAAGAAAAAGGAGGCAGGAATGAACAAATGAAGGAAAGACTGCCTGAAAATGTAAAGATTTGGTAGCAAGTTTAAAATATATTTTGTAGGCAAGAAAGGGTAAAATTAACATGACGGAAATTGAATTGGTGATGAGAACAAGCTTGAGAAAGTCTCCAAAAATACAGAGGAAAAAGGAAAATGATGAGAAAAAAGATGAGAGACATAAGAAACAGCTAAGTAAACCAAACCAAGAAGTATATCTGTAGCTCAGGAATAAAGCAGAACAGGGTGAACAAAAGTAATATTCAGAGACTTAAGTGAGGAGATCTTGCCTCTCCTGAAATAGGGAACATAGCA